AGAAAAAAGAAATTGTCAAAGAGTCTGTTGTATCACATATTATCAGGGGTTCATGACAGCTGTTCATGAAGAGCAAATAAAGAAATGACAGAACCCAAAATAGTTCTTTCCTAAGGAGGTAATTAATATTTCAGCTTCACATAGGCGCGGATGCCTTTCAGTCTCTCTTAGTGCTAGACGCACGTGCATGTTTTGACAGAGAAGCATTAAGCATCGTGGCACAAGTCATATCATTTACAATTCCCGCAGTTTGTCTAAGCTTTACAAAGCAAAAACAAACAAAAAAGAATCTGGTCTCATAAGCGAAAAAACAGAAACAAAGTAGCCCAAGCTTCAAAAACAGCACAGCTTATCCTGAAGCCTCTACATTTGGCACTGAAGCACTCATGTCCAAAAATAATAACAGCTTATCAAGTCGTAAAAGTGAGACTCAAGTGGTACAGGATTGACTCAAATGATAAATGGTGACTGGTTTAACTGCTAAAACTGTAGAAAAGGGGCTTCGCTAACTTTTAGGGCCTGTTAACATAGAGGTGGGGGACCCCAGGTAGGTGAGGTGACCTGCTTAGGTGGGGTAGCCCTCCTGCCCATATAATCTCTCATTTTAATTTGATCACGTTTACATGATAGGTGGGGTGACCCTTTAAGGTGGGTATCCCGGTCTGCCACACCGGTTAACCCTCTCAGCTGAGGTCAAATTTTGCCATGTCAACGTTTCAAGACGAGGTAACCCAGGTTAGTCGGGGTCGGATTCGTGATACATCAAATTCGCGCAAAATCTACTTTGGCGCCTGGTGGCTTCACATAATTATTAAAAGTAACAATAGAAAGCCACAACATTGAAGGTTGCAGCAGGAGTAGCAAGGTTTGCCATCATTTTTCTTGTTTACGTGCTTAGCGACCATTCAGTAATCTTGAGAAAGTGCACCCCAGGATGGCGGGGTTGTAAGATTGCATGTAAAGGAGGGTTATTTTTTTACCCCACCTAAGCAGGTTACCTCACCTACCTGGGGGCCGGTCCCCACCTTTATGTTAGCAGGCCCTAAGTCTAAGGAACCGTGACACTGGTAATAAACGGTATACCTAACCCGGGACTAGCTGTGATACTACCGAGTCCATCTTCAAAAACGTCAGCATAGCAACCAAAGGAGCCATTATATCGGTATAACACGAATATAAGATTGCGGTTGTTTTATGCGTCTCGTTTTGTGACTTTTTTTCTGTTCGTTTTCGTCACTCTAAATTGTCTCTAAATTTCAAGAATGATATTCAGCAATAAAAACAAGGTGTGACCAGGAGCCGATTTCTAGGCTCCTGGTGTGGCAGCATAGGCATAAGTGAATGCAAGGTTTTGAGGTATGTAATCTGTCAGAAATCTGTTTGAGTGGTCAAAGTTGGGGCTGATGGGCTTCTTTATCATGACCACTCCATTATTATAAGGGACCAGGCCACAATTATTGTTGACCCTTGATCTTTTTGGTATTTTCTGTAATTTTCTACAGCATTATTTTGTGAAAAGTTGGTAATTGAATTGCTCTTGAGGAATTCATGATCGTAAGATTTCGTAACCACGGGGTATTCGCCTAATTGGATCAAACAAATTACATTCATTTTCATAAATGATGCATCATTGGTTGGCTAAAACAGGCCTTGTTCCAGTAACTTTCAGCTCTTCTGAAGTTAGTTTTTTGTAAATTGTAACGCACGCGACGACCTTCCTTTTTTTTTTTTTGAACGATCGTATAGACCTACCCTCAGGTGCGAGGGCTCTGAAGTGAATGAGCTCCCTACAGATGTTTAGGCATGCAGGGACCTCATATACCTCTTTTTAAATGCAAATGTGTAAAAAATAAAGAGTGTTGAAAATTCCTGGAGAGGTATGTTTTACAACCTCGTCTCCAGGGCTTAATAAAAAGGTAGAAAAAGGTAAAGCGACCATATTTTACGTCGATAACTCGTGACAGTAATAATAACTGATAAACTTGAGGTCGACGGTGCGCTCCTTTTACCCCCCTCTCTCCGTTAATGCTCCGTATTTAAAGCTAGTCAAAGCTACACAGAAAGGAGAGAAGTTGAAATAAGGATGTGTTGACACCGGGGATCGAACTCGGGACCTCACGCACCGAAGGTTGCGCACTAACCAACTGTGCCACCCTTGCTCCTCCTTTTTCCCCGGAGGACGAGGTTGACATGTTTTAAACATTATCTCAAGGACAGGGTTACCAACGAAGCAAATTATAATCTAATCTTAGTTTTACAATTACAAAGTGAGCGCGTTGTCAGTTATGGTTCATGAGGTCTTTCATGTGGCATGTCAAAATTTAACGATTCTATCGTTTAGGAAGTGATACATTTGGATTTTATGTTATTGTATGACATCTTTGAAAGCTGGCTTTGTGATCTGTTTAAATTGATATGTAATGATATTATCACTGGCAAGTCTTAGCAGTGACACTGATAGCCGCACAGTGAACATGGTCACAGTTACCGTGTTGAGACTGGGAACTAGTCAGCATTATGTACATGTAAAACTATTTTGAATAGTGTAACAACAACTAAACATTACCAAATTAAAAACTTAAAAATTTGAAACAAATGCTTTTTAGCCAAATCAAACAAAAAGAGTACTCACCACAGGGAGTCCAATTTGCTATTATAGGTGAAATATAACCCCCCCCTCCCTTTTATCTGTAATTAGGACCATTTGTAACGGGCACCCCCTCCAGTATTAATCAGCAGGTGCTAAGGAAGATCTGTGCCAAATTTGACAATTTTGTCACGTCTGTAGAGATCCGGCCTATATTTTGCACTAAGAGACCTGACTTTTAGGGTACTCCATGTGTAATCGGCAGAGGGTCAGGAGGGTCTCAATGGGGTGGTGGCTTTTACGGTTATCGACTAAAATTTTGGCTTTTTTACGGCTATCGGTTAATTTTTTTCAGTTACGGTTAACAAAAAAGTTAAAAATTAACTTCTTTTGTTTCAAAAAGTTAAATATTAATTAACCTGTATTTTTTGTATCTGTAAAGCAAAATAAAGAGGTCTTAGGATCATCTCGGGCTGAAATAAGCTATTCTTTTGAAAAATTTTAACATTTGATGGATCATACTTTTTATAAAGTATTCCACTTCTTATATTATTTTACACATATAAATGTCAATAGTCAATTTAAAAATAATCTTTGTGAAAAAGCAAAGCACACACGCGCACGCCCAACTCAAGGCCTGGGCCCGACATTCATTACAACAGAAATGGCCGTTTTCACATTAGAGACGGGTTATTCGTGTGAGATGGGTTATCCGTTTGATGATTCGCGTCAGATAGGTAATGTCTTAATTTGAAAATGGAATAGTTTTAATTTTGAATGAACAATCCGCCTGACTTTATCCGTCAATTTCGACGGACAGTTTGAAGACGGGATTATCCGTTCCAGATAGCCTGTGTACAGCCGCCCCCTCCCCTCAGAAAAAATCGGAGAAGGGGTGTCTGTCGGGAAGGGGGCGATTGTACACAGGCTAGTCTCAGACGGATAATCCATTTCTAGCTCTAGTGTGAAAACGGCCGATAACAAAATTCCCGTGTCCAGTGTTTTTAATGATAGCGAAGGAATGTACGGAACGACTGTCAGCCGTTGCATTGTCCGTAGTCCTCATCATCGCGCGGCTAATACGTTTCGGGTCACGTGGTCCGTGCGAGTTCGCCACAGAAACTCCTTGACAGAGATTGCGTGGGAGGACGCCGTACGGGGACTAGGCATGGCAACGTCTACCGTAGCGTCAGAGAAAAACAGGGAAATGTTGTTTATCGGCATCGTGTTTTACAAACAGTGACATCTCTGCGTGTTATTTCACTATTTTTTCGAGGGCATGACCTCCTGAAAATCGCAAATATTAATCCCCAGCAAGAAGCCACACTCTCGCTCTGGAAAAAAATTAGTTCCCCGAGACAGCGGCGGAAATGGAGCCTAGCCAACACCTAAAAGGCGCGTTACCGAACGTGCGTACGGAGTGACTTTAGCCGGGAAATAACAAACGCAGCGATAAGTGAGTTTAGTACCTTCATTAAAAGTAGCAAAACTAGGGAACAATTTCTTTTACGGTTGGTCCTTTTTTAACCTATTTACGGCTAACGGTTAAAATGTTTCAATTTTTACGGCTATCGACTAAATTTTTGGCCGTTTTACGCCTATCGGTTAACCCCATTGAGACCCTCGGTCAGGGTAGAGGCTATTCGGGTAGACCGAGAGCGGCCAGATAAATAGCTCTTGAACGAGTTGGACAACAGCAGGTGAGGCACCCACCATCAAAAGTTTGTGAGGCAGTTTTGGATGATTAATACTGTCAAATGCTTTCGAAAGATCCAGTAGGACGAGAGCGATAAGCCTTTTCTTATCCACAGCTTCTAAGATGGCATCAGTGATATAAATGTTCAAGGCCTAAGCTCACACTCTTAACTTCTAATGACATTGAATATATGAACCAGCCCTTATACTAAGATTTTTTCAGTATAAAAATAAGTCCAAATCTCTATCACAGTTTTCTTTACAATTCAAGACTGAAATTCACGGCTTTCATAGAATACATGGCAACGATTCATTTGCAATTCATTATGACATTTTTTGCCAGGTCACGATGCTGCACTGTTTATTTGATATCAATCTAAATGGAATAACATACTTGATTTAACAACAAAACAGAAGACAAACAAGAAACAAGAAAACATAACAAAATTAACAACATTATATAAACCAGCAGGTCTAAATTCAGTTCATCGCGCGAGTTAAGCAAATCGCAGCATTATTGACAAAACAATTCTGCTGCTCTTGTTAGCAAAAGCCTCCTCACAATAACTGCATCCGCATGCGAAAAAAACGACAGCATGAGACCGTTTTGAATATTGATGTTAAAATTTATGTCTCTAATTTTGCAATGTCGTGTTTTTAATTATCAGTGTAAATCGTCCTCAGATAAGAATAGAGGAAGTCCATCTTGCTTGGCTTTTTCAATCTGACTCGGGGAGACATCGTTCTTTACTAAAATTTTGGTAGGAAATGTTAGGTTTGACCATAGTGGGAATTGCTGAAGGCAGGCTATTTGTGGACAGAAATAGAACTTTGATTGGTAGACTTCGGGTGGCTCAAGTTTCACTACTTCCAACCCTTGAACAAAGACACACAGCTCTCCAGGTGAAATTTCTCTTTTACAACGGAAGGCTTTACAACATGGATTTTTCCCACGTTTTTTTTCCTTGTGTGATAAATACCACGTACATCCCTGATCGTTCCTTTTGTCCTTGGACAGTATAGCCTTCACTCGAGGTATTTTGAGGATCTGCCTGACTTCATTCCTTTTCAAAGCTATCTGTTGTAGCAGACAGTGTTTCTTGTCCACCTTTAATTGGTAAAGATAAACCCATATAATATGTTTACAAAGTTGGTTTCCTTTGAATTTTTGGTAATCTTCACATTCACAGGTTGGACACACTGATATCTTGACTAAATACTCTCTCCGACTGTTTAAGTTTTGAATTGTAAACCATGCAACATCTTGCTGAGGATTAACGCTGCTCACTGCCATGAATTCCACTTGTTTTTCCGCTGTGCTAAGTCGTATTGAAAAGTGTTGAGACCTGGTCGGACGAAATGGTCTTTGACGAGGAGAATTGCTAGGCTTATTATCCGGCTCGTCCTTTTCCGACTCAATTAACGGCGTGAAAGGTTGTTCTTGGTCCGGCGTGCGTGGCTTTGGTCGATTCGATTTCAGATAATATTTATGAAACTGTGGATCATCCATATACTCTTCTACTTTCCTTGGAAGTAGAATTAAGATGTAGAGCATCTCAACAAGCACAAAAAGGGTAAATGTCCCAGTGACCACGATCACTGCATAGGCCCAGAAGGTTTTATTACCTGCTCGCCGATCATTACATTCGTATGATGTTTGTGTCTGCTTTACATTGCGAGACGCTGTAAAATTGCCCTCATTGGCTAAGTTGCAGTGGAAGGTGGAGGAAAAACTACGAGGATAAAGCAGTAGGGCTTGTATAAGGACAAAAAAGATCCCCACGAGAATTCGGACAACAAGTTGGCTAAGGTAGGCTTTAAAAATTTTTTTTCCGGGTTGGGTTGAGCGTTTGTTGGTCCCCTCTTCAAGTTCATTAACTCTTGACTTCACCGCTTGTGAGTAAATTGCCCAAACACTTGCAGTAAGAAAGAAGTTAAGAATGACGAAACCGTATATAGGAACTCCGAATTTGTTGTTTTGTTTTTCATACTGTTCCCAACACATCCCAAGAATCAGTTCCTTGCCGTCATCACTTGATCCACAAACAAAGTCGAGTCTCGACTCGTTTATTTCTATGTCAAGAAAGATTCCGCTCAGAGTAACTCCGCAAAGGATCCAAAACACATTTTCTACGTAGCTGAACCGGTTGAATGTTTTTGGGAGAATAAATGCCTTCAGAAATTCCATGACATAGATCTTTTGATTTCGTTCGGGTCTCAACTCTTACTAGTTCAGTCTGCAACCGAGAAAGGTAGCATTAACATAAAAAACGATAGAACTAACGATTAGAACTAACGATTGCAAACGATTGACATTCAATCAATCATCTTCAGTGGTTAGCCGTATTTGAATTGCAAAACTGAGATTGTTTGTGATCATTTGGCGTCTGGCCAACAACGTGAGTCTTCTTATCTCTAATAAATCAGTGGTCGGTTCCGGCAATTCTACTTTTTGCAAAAAACACGGATTAAGAAAATGAAAAACGCCTAAAATTCAAGATCTTTATTTGTATTCTATACTCAAAACTGAAAAAAGGAAACCCTTTTTTAACTTCCAGTCGCCATTATGGAAACTTGAGAAAAGTGCCCCCTTTTCTCTCGAAAAGCCGGATATTTCCTAGGATTTGTCGTCGATATAAAGTGAAGCAACTTTCTTGAGTAATATTTATATCTCACGAATCGCAAAAAAGCTGGAAAAAGATATTTCTCGAGTTTTTT